GTTCACCTCTGAAAAATTTCGTTGTATTTTCCCCCCACATCAAGCAATCAGTGTTGCAAATGTAAAAGACTTTGGTCACTGCTGCTTCTGTTGGAAAGCTTAACTAAGGAAGTGGCTAGCTATACAGTTTGCCTGCATTGAGCTGTGTCAGGAGCAAAGAGAAACACTCTTGAGGGGGTTGAGAGGGAATACAAAGAAGCTGTAATCATACATTAGACAATGAGGAACCAGGACTCTTACTGAGCAGGATGACTCTTACTGAGAGGAAAAGGTAGATAAACAGGGTTTCCCTTGGCCAGAAAGTGGCAAGACTAGCAATATTGAGTGGAGGAGAGAGCAGGGGCTGATTGCTCTGAAAGCAAAGGAGACATCTGCTGTGCATGGAATTGGGAGAGCATTAGGGTGAAGAGAGCAGGCTCTGGAAGCAGAGTGCTTGGATTCAAATCCTGGTTCCTCTACTTATCAGCTGTGTAACCTTGCACAAATTACTTGATCTCTCTGACCTTGGATTCCCCTAATATGTAATTGGGATATTAGTACCTATTTCATAAGGATATTGTTAGGATAAATGAGTTGAGAAATGTAAAGGTCTTAGAACAGTACACATAGTAAAAGCTTGGTGTTTATTTTATTTATATAATAAAAGGATAATATGCAAATAAACTGAACATCAGAATGACCAGAACACCTGTAGCCCTTTGCCTTGCTGGGCCTCACCCTCCACTGGTCTCCCCCACCCTGATCGGGGTTGGGGCTGGCAGGCAAACCACCCGCAGCAGTCCCTCACCCTGGCTTGCCCAGCCTCTGATGGCCCCCATCGGGGTGGGCCGGCTAGACCCACCAGTGCACAAATTCGTGCACCAGGCCTCTAGCCAATAACAACAACAACAACAACAACAACAACAACAGCAGTCCTATCTGGTTTGGCTCAGTGGATAGACATTATTGGCCTTCAGACTGAAGGGTCCTGGGTTCAATTACAGTCAAAGGCACATGCCTGGGTTGTAGGCTTGATCCCCAGTAGGGGGTGTGCAGGAGGCAGCTGATCAATGATTCTCATCATTGATGTTTCTATCTCTCTCCCTCTCCCTCTTCCTCCCTTTCTGAAATCAATAAAAAATTTAATAATAATAATAATAAATAATAAATTTGTTGCCACCCTTTCTGCCACCATGTTGGTCCAAACCACACTTTATCTTTCTTTTTTTAAATTTATTTTATTTTTTAATTTAAAAATATATTTTATTGATTTTTTACAGAGAGGAAGGGAGAGAGATAGAGAGCTAGAAACGTTGATGACAGAGAAACATCGACCAGCTGCCTCCTGCACACCCCCCACCGGGGACGTGCCTGCAACCAACGTACATGCCCTTGACCGGAATCGAACCTGGGACCCTTCAGTCCACAGACCAACGCTCTACCACTGAGCCAAACCGGTTTTGGCACATTATCCTTCACTAACACTAATTCAAAGACCTCTTCATCGGTCTTCACATCTATTCTTGTGTCATTTCCAATTTGTTCTCCACCTGGTAGCGAGGTTACTGTTTTGAAATTAGAATTCATGAAGTTACTTCTTTGGTTAAAACCTTTCAGTAATTCCCTTTCTACTTATACTTTTAGTCTTTATCATAAAATATAGCTTCCAAGGAACTTGTTTCTCTGCCTCAGTTTGTGCTGACATCCATAGTAGATCCTCAAGTGTGCCATCTTCTGCCAGCCTCAGAGCCTTTAGACTAATATACTTTAGAGGCTGGCTGGCTCAATGAAATGACTGAATGTCAATGTGACTGATTTAAGGTCTTAACAATGTTCATATTCTTGGTCATGGCAGTGGAAATGAAAACATTTCCCCCACTTTCTATTGGGAAAAAAAGGTAAATGGGTCCAGAGAGTCTCCAGGAGGGGGAGCCCTGGTTCCTTGTTCAGAGTCATAGCTGTGAGGATTTGCATCTGACTAAGTCACAACAGAGCCAATAAACACAATCATTGCTGGAGTTTAAGCAACTAGGAGAAAATTGTCAATTGGCATCATTACTTTATGTCATGCAATTAGCTATTCACCTATGTGGAATTCAGTTTTGCAGGAGAATTTGTTTTATAGTTCTTGCCATAGTTTTGAATGTCACAGCCAATGTTCAGTTTGTTCTTTTAGTAAGATACAGGCTCACACTTAAACTAAAATTTTAGTTTATACTTAAACTAAAACAAACATATAAAACAAAAATAGGAACCTGTAATTCTTTTAGTTAACTGCTTTTTCTCCTTAGCTTTTTGTTTTCTTATAATGTTTTCTAAGTCTCTCCTTAAGAAAAATGAGTTGTTACAGTTCAGTCTTCTCTCCCAGCCCAGCTCTTGAGTAGATAACTCATTACAAAATACCTATCATTTACTTAGAGAACAGCTTTTAGCACATTACTGTGCATCAGAGCAACTAAGCTGGATATTCTTCTCTTGACACCTCCCTTACTGTCCCACACTTATTGCCAGAGCTGGACACACAGATTCATGGTAAATGTAAAGAATGGCCATTTAACAGATGACTATTTTCTTTAAAGACTATCAGTGTTTACTAGGGATCAGTGTATGTTCACTTGAAACAAGGTACACTGACTAATCTCAGTTTTAAAATATTAGTGGGCATGCTGATTCTTAATTTCAGCACTATTCCAAATTTCATGTTTTATTTGTAGATGAGAGATTGAAGCATCATGGGAGTATAGTTAGGTAGATTTATAAATGGTTAAATAAAACACATTTAGTATCTCTCTATATAAAAGGCTAATATGCAAAGTGTCCCCTCGGGAATTTGACTGGGAGTTCAATCTCTTGCTATGATGTGCGCTGACCACCAGGGGGCAGCTCAAAATGAAGGGAAGCCCTAGCTGGCAGCCTGAAGACCCCAATTGGCTCTGATCACCAGGCAGACTTAGGGACCCTACTAGTGCACAAAGTTTGTGCACTGGTCCTCTAGTGTTTTATATAAACATTTGAGAAAGATGTTAACAATAATATGTATAAAGGTCTACAGTAGTTTGCCAAAGTTTTATTTAAAAAAATTTTTTTAATTGATTTCAGAGAGGAAGGAAGAGGGAGAGAGAGATAGAAACATCAGTGATGGGAGAATCACTGATCGGTTCCCTCCTGCACGTCCCACAATAGGGGGTTGAGCCTCAACCTAGGCATGTGCCCTTGACTAGAATAGAACCTGGAACCTTTAGTCCACAGGCTGATGCTCTATCCACTGAACCAAACCAGCCAGGGAAAGTTTTATTTCTTTGATTACAAATTTGGGGTTGTAATTAGCCCCGTTCATTTTTAAAAATTCAATTTATTGTAGTGAGATTGGTTAATAACATTATGTAAGTTTCAAGTGTACAATTCTATAACACATCATTTGCATATTTTATTGTGTGCTCAGCATTAAAAGTCTAGTCTCCCTCTCTCACCATATATTTGATCCCTTTACTCTCTTCATTTACCACCACGCCTGCAACCATCTCCTCTAGTAACTAACCTTCTGTTGTCTGTGTCTATGGGTTTGCTTGTTTGTTGCTTTCTGTTTTATATCCCACATATGAGTGAAATCATATAGTTCTTGACCTTTCTGACTGACTTATTTCACTTAGCATGCTACTCTCAAGATTCATCCATGTTGTTGTAAATGTCAATATTTCATCTTTTCTTATGGCTGAGTAGTATTCCATTGCATATACTGTATGTACCACATTATCTTTATCCATTCATTCATTGAAAGACACTTATAGTCCTGTACTTTTTAGTATATAGTCTATAGCTTTGGAAGAATAATAAAAGGCATGTGTTTGAAATTTTCTGATGACACAAAATCGGGAGGAATATTTAATAGTTTGGGATAGTTCAGTTAAGAGAAATATTTTTTTTATTAGGCTGGTATACTAGGAATATACAAAATATCTTGTACATTGTTATTTAAAAAATCAACTATATATGCTTAATGGGAGACCTGATTTAATTATAATTTATGAAGGAATAATCTAGAGATTTTAGTTCATCAAAACTTACATGAATAAACAGTGAGATATAATTGCTGAAGTGACATTTAAGAACATCTGTCTCTGTTCTAAAGGGATTAGTTGAACTAAAATTTTAATATGTGTTTGGTTCTGGACACGATGTTTTAGGAAAGATGCAGAGAAATTGGGGAAATTCCAGAAGAAGCTGATCAGGAAGAGATGTCTATAAAATAGGTCATGGAGAATGGCTGAGGGGTTTGAGAATGTCTGGACCAGAGTGCAGAAGGATTATGGGAGACCTAGGAGTGACTCTTGAAAATTTGAAGGTTGTCAACATACAAAAGGCTTAGATTTGGATTAGGTTACCCCAGAGATGGAATTTGTCACATGTCAAGAAATTATAGGGAGGCAGGTTTGGGTTTCTCATTAGAAAAATCTTTCTAGCAATCTTCATTCTACACTGGAGACAGGCTGCCTTGCAAGGAGATTAGTTTCCCACCACAGAAGACTTTCAATGACAGGTGTAGGGGCCCTTTATCAGAGTTATCAAAAGGGCCATGTTTTAGGAAGGTGTATCAAATGATCCTTGAAGTTCATTCTAATCTTATGGGCCCCAGCATGAGCTCAGTGCTGGCACATGTAGGTGTTCAAGTGATATATGCAGAGTCAATAAATGCATAAAATTAATAAAATCTTAGGGGCAGACCTTTGCACTTTATACATACATATACATATATATACATATACATATACATATACATATACGTATACATATATATATATATTGTTTTATGGCATTGAACAGTAATTTCATGTAGTTTCAGGAGCATATCATCCTAGAAAAAAAATGAAGACCTTGGGCCACACAGAGTTTAAAATTTCCTAGATAACTGGCTTATATTTCTTGCTGTGGTATAACCTATTCTCAGCCTTGTAAGTTTTAGAGCTATTTCTGATAATGAACAGGCTTTGCCCCAAACTAACATGATGTTATTTCTTTTCCAGGATAATCGTATCCACACATCCAAGTACAACATTCTCACCTTTCTGCCAATTAATTTATTTGAACAATTCCAAAGAGTGGCAAATGCCTATTTCCTTTTTCTTCTGATTTTACAGGTAATGTTTATGCTATATTTCTTCATGATCTCTTTGTTAAAAGTATTCATATAATTTGAAAAAAGTAAGTTAATTCACTTAGTTAAATGTTCATGATTAGGTAAAACCATTCTTAGGAGATTTTTAATGTTATTATTGCTGTTTCTCTTCACAAATGTGGGAGGGCTAGGAATGGGTAAAAACTAGCACATTCATCATTTTAAACACTAAGGTAATTTTAAAATGCAGTCTTGCACTTTACTTGAACCAAACCAGAGCCTAATGATTACTGTTCACGGCCTCTCCCCTTTCTTTATCTCCCTCTCATGTCAACAGTTTGGGTATTGCCAGAGTGAAGACAATGAGTCTAGCAGAGTGGTAGTTTGTGGAACTTAATATGGCAAGTTCATTTGCATCTAAGAACACTGACATATTTTGCATATATATTAAAATAAATGATGTATGATATATGTTATTTCACTCTACAATGATTTAAAAAAATAATTTGAGTGGTTAATTGGTAGTTATAAACATTGCTTTTTCCTCCCATTTGAAAGAAAAAAAGCATAGCTCACATTAGCCAGTTATTTACTTAGTATTTATTTCAGAGTAATTTAATCACACTAACCTAGTAGATTCAGAATGTGCTAGAATCTGTGTTAATTATAGGAGGTAAGGAGATAGATTAGATGTGTGCAGTCTAGATGAATAGTTTGAGGACTATTTTTTCTTCAGTTGATTAATAATTTGTATTAAGAATTTTTTGATTATTAGTGACAAAAACTTAAATTCTTTTAAGCAAAAAGGGAATATATTTATGAATATATGTCATTTCATGTGTTACTGGATTTATGGGCAAACTATTTCAACAGATTGTGATGTTGCTTTTCACTGTTTTCCTTCATGTTGGTCTATTCTCTGACAGTCTTTCTGTACCTGGTAGATGCTAAAAGCTTTAAACTTTTATTAGAGTTTAAAGAGAGAGAGAGAGAGAGAGAGAGAGAGAGAGAGAGAGAGAGAGAGAGAGAGAGATATTGGCCCATGTTGAGTTACACCTCTATCCCTAAACCAATCACTGTGGCTCAAGAATTTTTCTAATATGTTTTTTTAAAAATTTTATCTTTTATTATTGAAAGTATTACAGATGCCCCCTTTGTTTTTCTTTCCATTGACCCCCTCCACCTGCCTTTTAAAAATTGATTTCAGAGAGAAGAAGGGAGAGGGAGAGATAGAAGCATCAACTGAGAGAATCGTCCATCAGTTGCCTCCTGCATATCTCGCCCTCTCCACCCCCCATAACCCAGGCATGTGCCTTGACCGGGAATCAAACTGTGAGCTCCCAGTTCATCAGTTGACATTCAGTCACTGAGCCACACTGGCTGGGTGTGGCTCAAGAATTTGATGCAATGATTGTCTTGGCCTTGATCACATTTCAAAAACTAGAATCAGGATGGAATCAGTGCACCAAAATTACATGAACTGAAAGTAGAAGGGGTTGGGTAGATCCCTAAGAAAATAAGGGTTAATTGAAAGGACTGGATGTTAAACAGAAAAAACAAACCACAAATGATGAATGTGCATCTTACAATTTATTGAAGAGTCTTTAGAATCCTAGATCTCTTTCTTTCTCCCCCCCCGCCCTGTGAATTTGCTTTGGTTTCTTCATAAAATCCTTTGTACCATTCCAGAATTTTGAGTTCATTTCTCCAATGGATTTCTAATTTATGGCCAAAGATTTTTGTTCACAAATTTTATATCCAGAAGGGGCCTTTGGGAAAGTTTAGTCCAACCTCCTTTCTTTTATTGATGAAGAAATTAGACCTAGAAACATTAGATGACATATAATGCTTTTACAAGTTAATGATAGAAGTAGTTCTAGAATCCAGCTTTTCTGCCACCCAGCCCAGGGTTTTTTTGGGAACCGCAAAGTCTTTTGAGGTTTATTTGTTTTTAAATTTTATGTGGAAGCTATTATATAAAATTGATTAAGTTTAGAGTTGTTTTAATGAGGTCTGATCTCCATACACTGACCATCTCCACCCAACCTTTCCCAGCCTGAGAGCCCTGAAGCAGCTCCAAATGGAACCCCACTTGAAAACCACCTAAGAGAACATGCTGGTTGTCATGGTGCCTCTCCCAGGTGGAGTTACAGGCATAAGGCTTTGGAGTCAAATAGGCCAACGTTCAAATTTTAACGTTGTGTATGTTCTTGGCCCAATTGCTTGACCTCTTAGATAGTTATTTATATAGTGGGAAAATGATATCCAAGGCTGCAGCTTTTCTTGACTCTGGGACACCATTCACAGTGCATTCTGTATTTTACACTGAGGTGCTATTTACATGGAATACAAACCCAAAGGGTTTGTGTATAACAACTTGATACAGAGTCTAACTCAATGGACTTCTCTCAGGATTAAATGACATTATATATGAAAATACTTGATACAGTGTCATGCTCAAAGTAGATGCTCAAAGAATCTCTTTTTTGGGATTTGGTGAGGAGTTGGCAAAGTTGTTAAAAATCGAGATGAGTAGTTGATAAAAGACTGGTGATGTTTAATATATATATATATATATATATATATATATATATATATATATATATAATTTAATTCTCATTCGAGAATATTTTTCCATTAACTTTTAGAGAGTGAAAGAGAGAGGGAAAGACAGAGAGAATTGTTGATGTGAGAGAAACACATTGATTGATTGCCTCCCATATGAGCCCCGACCAGGGCCTGGAGCAGGGAGGAGCCTGCAACCAAGGTACACGCCCCTGAGTGGGATCAAACCTGGGACCTTTTGGTCTGCAGGCCGATGCTCTATTCACTGAGCCAAACTGGCTAGGGCTTATCTGGGGGAAGATAATCATCTATGAGAGATTTCATGAAGCTTACTTCTTAACTTGTTATAAAAATTATATATTTTATCAGGAAATCTGAAAAGTGGTTCAATGATATGTTTATCCTATGTACTTTGTAACTGAATGCAAACAGAAAGTTCCTTTATATTAATATAATCCCATTAATCTTTGGCAAGCCTTAGAAAATTAAGTGACAACATTTGGAAGATATACTTACTAAATTTAAAAGCCCTAAACTGTTTGAAATATTTATTTCAGCTGATTCCAGAAATTTCCTCCTTGACCTGGTTTACCACCATTGTGCCGTTGGTCCTGGTGATAACTATGACAGCTGTCAAAGATGCTACAGATGATTATGTGAGTATTTGCTTTTGAGCATTCCTGAGGTCTCAATTTCAATTGTGACCTCTCAGAAGTAGAAAAAAAGAGATTCATTTGGAATTTTTAAATTAAGCTCTTTTGGTCAATATGATATAAAATCTCTCTTGCTAGTTGATGATTAATACAAGTCATAGAATCAGCAATGATTTGAATAATGACATCTTTGCAATAAATGCCTGACTTCCCTACATTATATGATCTATCAGGAATAGTACTCATTTAGGTACATGAGTTCCCACAACTTGGCTTTAAAGGTTTTATTCATATAGACATATTTCATAGGAGAGTAAAATGGTAGAGTAGAAAGGAATAGGTTTTGGAGAAAGACTCCTTACTATAGTATGTTCTAGTAATGTAACATAATGAAAACCACTTCTTTCCTTGCCTGAATAATGTGGCCAATGACATCAGCACTGTAAAAAGACAAAACAAGATGCTGTTTTGTCTATAAAGCACTCAGCACAGAGCCTGCCTTACAGGGCGTACTCAGTTATGCTTGTTCTCTGCTTCCTTCCTCAGTTCTCCTCTGAGCCTTCACATCTATTTCTGAGGTAGAAATCATCAAGATGAGCCAGTTTGAGATGACTATTGGACTCTATATGTTCCAATACCAAGACTCTCTTGGCAAAGCCTGGGCAGAAGTGAGAGTGGCCCCATCTTAAGGCCCAGTGAGTGAGCTGTTCAGGGTTTAGGGTGTGATTGCTATTTTTTTGTGATGCCCAGCTAGGCAAGTTAGGGGACAGTTTTCAGGTTAGATATAGATGTGACTAAATGCCTAATCTCCTTTGTCTCTACTGCAGTTAATGCTTGGATATGCCTTTATTTTGTGGTAATATGGGCGGGTTCAAGGAATTGGATAGCTTTGTGAATCAGGATCTTGGCAGGAAACAGATGTCACTCTGAAATGGGGGAAGCTTGGACTAAGATTAATAATGAGACCATTTACAAAGGGTGTGAGAAAGGAAAAGCACACGGGATAGCAACATGGGTGGCCAAACTATCTCTCACCTAAAGGGGCAAAGGAAGGAAGCAATTATCAGGCTGTCCTTGAGGGCTGCCTGCTGCAGATGGGGATCCCTATAGAGAGGAAGCAGCCACTGATAACCCAGCTTGAAGGAAGCCAGGGAATTTCACTTTCCTCTGGCACTCTGCTCTCTGCCAGTGCCACCTACTGGCCAAAGCCAACCAGAAGCCAGAGGGCAAGGACCATGCAGGTCAGCTTTCTCTGGCACAGGGCACAGTGGAGAAGGACGGGTGTAGATTTGGAAAATTTAGAAATTTTCTAGCCCCCATGTCAATTTATGTACTTAGACAAAAGATCTATTTCCATTTCCATTTCTATTTCCATGAGAAGATTGCATGATAACGATGGACTGACAATTTACTCTTCTACCAATATTATCAACTCTTTTCATGTCAACAAATGACAAAGATCTTATTTATCTTGATAATACCCATTAACTTATACCCAACCATCAGTGTAATTGAATGCACTGGGCATAGCATAAAGGAAAGACTGGGATGGATTTGGGAAGGATGTTTAAAAAGGGAAAGGCTGATTGAAGCATTTTGTATATTGTGCCATTGATATAATTATTTTGAATATTTTTAAAAGACAAATGCACTAATTCTGATGATTATGATCTACGAAATCAGTTTCATGATACTCCCCTTGTTCATCTGTGTACTTAGGCTAACTGGTTTGAAACAACACCCTATATTGTAGCTTATTACTATCTAATCTTGGCAGTTAACGTAAAAAGAAAGTCTTATCTTAATGGCTGCTAATTTATGAGTTTAGTAGAGGGCTCATAATATATGGATTCTTCAAAGCAACATAAGATATTTACATTACTGGAATATACAATAAGAAATAGGATCACTTGGTCATAAAAACACAAATCCACATCAAATGTGGTTCGGTATTATATTTTGACTTTAAAAGAGTACTCGGTATTTAACAAAAGTTCAGTGTTAACAATTATAATTTCCAGAGAATAAAAGTACATGTTGTTACAAGTAATTTCTTGGCTTCAAAGAAATCCATAAAACAGAATAAATGATGTTCCAATAAAGTATTGAGCACATATGTAAGAGAAATGGAAGTCCTCATTCCTGTTGAAAACATCAAAATTAATGTATGGTTTTCCTCTGGAGCTATGTGGCATATTGTCTTCTTAGAAACAACTAAAAATGTGTGGAAATTGGAAGGGCATATGGTTAGACTTGTTCGGTTGGTGACACCCAGAATAAGGTTTAGTGAGAGGGGTTTTGATTCAGATTTAGAATACGTGGAGATGGGTCCATAAGCTGTGCTCATTTTGGGCAGATGGTGATAGTGTTCAAATGAACTGAGAGTACTTTCAGCGTCCTTATTTGTGCTGACAAAGTATGATTTAATGTGTTTTTTCACAAATACTTTGATTTTTAGTTTCGCTACAAGAGTGATAAACAAGTGAATAATCGGCAATCTGAAGTGCTCATCGACAGCAAGTAAGAAATACATTCTTTGCTTTATCTTTAAGATTTCTGGGACCACAAGATGGGGTCTTGACAATGTATGGCTTTCTCTTTTAATTAAATATATATATATATATGTCTTTCTCCCTTTATTGAAAATTGCAATGTCAGTCCATTTTGTGTTCATGGTTCTTTTTCATGCTGATCAAATGTTTGTGCTGGACATTCAGCTTCTACTTCAAACCCCTTTGGAGTTTCTTTTATGGAACACAGACATATCATTGTCACTTTCCATTTCTAGGTCCAGCACTGTTTAGAACTGGCACACATGTGATGTCTTGTATGTAGAAGATGTCTCATAAGTACGTGCATATTTAATTTAGTAATTTATGAGGAGTGTTGCTAGAGAGACTTTGACACATTACTGTATCAAATGACAGTGATAAGAATTTTGTATTCACTCGTTAACTGATTTTAGAATGAATTATTCACCATAACAGGTTTTTCATTGCTTTTAAATTCCTCTGTCAATAAAGGCATCTTTATGGGAATGGTTCTTGAATTGGAAATGCTTTAAAACATGTATTTACAATCAACAGAAAAAACTGCTCCAGAAAATTTAGCAAAAAGTAAATCTTCATTCCACTGTTTCTTACTCTTTATCTTTTTGTCTTGTTTTGGCTAATAATAACAGATGGAAAAGTAAATTTATGGCAAGTACTTCAACATCATCAACATCATCTTTCCATGATTTTTTAAAAAATATATTTTTAAAATTGATTTCAGAGAGGAAGGGAGAGGGAGAGAAAGTTAGGAACATCAATGATGAGAGAGAATCATTGATTGACTGCCTCCTGCAAGCCACACGGGGGACTGAGCCAGCAACTCAGGTATGTGCCCTGACCAGGAATCGAACCAAGACCTTCTAGTCATAGGTTGACACTCAACCAATGGGCAACACTGGCTGGGTATCTTCCCATGATTTTGAATCATTTGGATGCTCTGAAGAATTTACATTTTCAAGTAAATATTATAAACAAATTAATCATATGAAATGAAAAATTTCAAGAAATTAAAGCTATTGAGAGGGACTAGGCAGTCTAAACAATAACTTATAGAATTGAACTAATTAATCTCTTTTCATTACTAAATTTTGACCCATCAGTAATGAATACATATAGTTTTTCTGTGTTGGATTATTTTAGAAAATTATGTTAAATACATGGTAAAGAAATATGATCTTGCCAAAACCAGTTTGGCTCAGTGGATAGAGTGTTGTCCTGCAGACTGAAAGGTCCCAGGTTCGATTCCAGTCAAGGGCATGTACCGTGGTTATGGGCACATCCCCAATAGGAGGTGTGCAAGAGGCAGCTGATCGATGATTCTCTCTCATTGATGCTTCTAACTCTCTCTCTCTCTTCCTCTCTGTAAAAAATCAATAAAATATATTAAAAACAGAAATATAATCTCAATCTAAACCCCTACTTATAGAGATAGAGACTCGCAAAGTGTGATTCTGGTGTGACATTGATAAGCCATAAAGATACCTGGAACCTTGTGGTTCATTTCCAAGTTAGCAGGTTTTGAATTGTTGCCGCTGAAGTTTGGATTTTATACTCAGACTTTAGGTATGAGTTTAGTCCTGACCCTAAATAATATTGTGGTCTTAAACAAGTTCTGAAGAAGTAGTGACTTTTGTAAGCTAATGTGGTATGTGGCTTTGAGCTGTACTCTTTCATATCTTGACTTTCTCAAGTCATGCAGTTCTGACTTGCTATTACCCTGACATTAATATGATTTGGCTAATTTCCTAGGAACATCTGATAATCAGTCTTATTATCTTGATGTATCATCTCTTATAAAGTGTGTTAAAATATGTACAGTTGCATAATGAATTTGAACTAATGGCCTGAATATATCTTTTAATGTCTCTCAAATTACCAGTTAAAATTTGTGTCATTATATGGACAGTGGCAGATATTGAAGACCCTACATAGTGGCCATAGGTTAATCCAGTAACTTAGATATTCAGGAACTTGATGACCAAATGTCTCTCACACATGCTAGCTAACATTGTCATTACCATTGGAAGTAGCATTAGTGTCACTTTCTTGTGGTTTCATTTAGCTTTATGTTGAGTCCTTATGAGGTAGCATCTCTTTGTAATTCAATACAGTGTGACATTTTTAAAAAGTACTGTTGCCGATGTTGTAAAGTTGAAGGGAGAAGCACATATCATTGAGAATGGAGTATTCTTTAGGATTCAATTAAAATCAGGCAAGATTTTCTGTGTGTAAGATTACCTACTACTCTGAGCTCCTTGAGGGCATCTTTCTTGATCAGGTCTGTGTCCCTTGAGTGTCCATTAAATTTTTAAACTGAGCAGTAACAAGTGTCCTTGTTGAGAGTGAATTTACCAGAAGAGTTTGATCTGTCAAATTTTGCTGAGTCCCATCACTAGCCAACTCCTTTGGCTGGGATGGTGGTCTTTGTAGAAGGTACTCAGGCTCTGGAGATTGGCTTTTCACGTTTTGGTTTTGAGAAGTTGGAGACATCAAATGGGCTTAGGTCTGAGATAGACCAGGGTGGTTTGAGTCCTCCTTGGAGCTGGTTGTAGTTGAGGATGCAGTTGGTCTCTGATCAGATCATCACTACCTTCTTGTGCTCGCTCCCTGTATGCATTGCTTCTAAGGGCTTGCACCTGCCACTTTCTTCAAAGCACTACCCTTAAGCTGCTGGAGCCAACCATTGATTGGCGTGGGAGTAAGAAAGAGCAGCACCCCTGCCTCAAATTGAACAAACTGTGAGGTATAATTTGCACCCATGAGCTCTGTGGAGACCAGACTGAGAATGAGACTTTGCCGGCAATCACACCCTGTGTGGCTTCATCCCTTCCTTGTGTTGCTTCTCATTTCTCTTACCGGTTTATCCCAGAAGTACTTTCCTATGAGCCAATTGCATGTGAGTCTGCATCTCAGGTTCTGCTTCTTATGAACTTGATCTAAGATAGTCGTTAATGCATACTTAACCCCATGGCAACGCTAGTGGAAAATATCAGGAAAGTGCTTTTGGGTCTACCCTTGGCACCTGTGAGTCATAATCCAGGGATAAAATAAAAAGAGGGAATGAGGGAGTCCAGGTATTTCTGGAGGTGACTGTCATCCTGGGATGGGCACCAGCATGTACTTGTGGCTTCCCTGTGTGCTCCTGTTGGAAGGTCTTGGACTTGGGGTTCATCAGGGCAGCAGCCATCAACAGCTTCTCCTGGAGGGAGAAGAAGCATGGGGGAAGATGCCTGATTGGAAGGGGTACAGTGATAGCACGTTGCAGGGAACCTGGGTCTGTGTAAGTGATCACCATGAGACTTTGGCAATTAATTTTCCTTCTGGGCATCAGGTCTCTCTCTTTCTGTGCTCAGAAGTGAGGAAGGTGGGCAGCTATGTTCAGATTCAATACATATTTATTGAGCAACTATCAAGCATGGGCTACAGTACTTCCACATATAACTCTTACAAATCCCAAGGTGTGAGTATAATAGTACCTCATTTTAGAAATAAAGTGATTAAGACCTAGAAAGGGAGTGGCTTGTTCAGGCAAGTAAGAATCCAAATTAGGCTTCTACCCATTCACAAAGCAACGTGTAAGTATGAACTTTGTGGCCCGATCATATCTATTTATTTCATATTTGAAGGGCTTTGTTTACTCATTGTTTTTAGCACTGTGCAAGCTGTGATGTTGGACATTGTAAACCTAAGCCACAAAATAACTAGAGAAATAAAACCCTTCCTTTATAAGCTTCTTTTTCAATTCTAGTTTTTTGGTTTTGTTACTCATATTCTTTTAAAATCAAGACCAATCATCTGCATCTGCAATCTACTATAATATGTGAAAGTGCATAAAAATAGGCATATTTGACTTGAATAAAATCTTTTGGTGACTTTAGTTTTAAAACTAAGTAGGAGTGCCCTGGCCAGGTGGCAGAATTGGTTGGAGCATTGTCCCATACACCAAAAGATTGCAGGTACAATTCCAGGTTGGGGCACCTATGGGAGGCAACATCTTAGATTTCTCCCCCCTTCCCCCCCCCCTCTCTTTCTCTCTCGTCAATAAAAACATATCTTTGGGTGAAGGTTAAAAAACAAACAAACACTAAGTAGGAGTGGCATGATTCCATACAGTAAAAATTAATATGACTGCCAAATAGAAGGTGCACATTCTTGCCTCAGCCAAGAGGACATATATCTGCTGACGGAATCTGTGAATATCAATAGACTAGAGGCCTGGTGCACAAAATTCATGCATGGGGGGTGTCCCTCAGCCCAGCCTGCACCCTTTTGCAATCTGGGACTTCTGGCTCCTAATTGCTTGCATGCCTGCCTGCTTGATCACCCTAACCCCTCTATGTGCCTGCCTGATCTCCCCTAACTGCCTCTGCCTCGGCCTCCACACCTGGGACCTAGGCTTTCCTCCTCCAACAAGCTGCAGGCAACTAACTAAGGCCCAGGCTTCCCTCCCTTTGGCCAACCGCAGGCACTCGGGACACCAGCGGCATCACCGGGGCCTTAGCTTTGTCAGGAAGGATGTCTTCCGGTCTATCCGGTCTAATTAGCATATTACCCTTTTATTAGTATATATACCCAATGTTTTATAAGAGGAAGTTTCCTCAAGTCATGCTAGCATTTTTTTAAACAATATTTTTTATTGATTTTTTACAGAGAGGAAGGGAGAGGGAAAGAGAGTTAGAAACATCGATGAGAGAGAAGCATCGATCAGCTGCCTTCTGTGCATTCCCTACTGGGGATGTGCCTGCAACCAAGATACATGATCTTGACCAGAATCAAACTGCAACCCTTCAGCCCCCAGGCTGACACTCTATCCACTGAGCCAAAGCAGCTAGGGCTCATGCTAGCATTCTTGGCCACCATGAGAGCAGGTGAGAAGCTATGAGAGGGCATCTGGAAGTTGCTGCAGAGGTAATTTAACCTGATCTCCTCAACCTGGGCTGCATATTATATCCATGTTCCAAGCCCCAG